ATTTTTTTTAATATACAATAACATTTTTCAGTTAAATTTTTTGAGAAATCAGAAAAAATTGTCTGGATTACGAATTAAGTCATTCACAATACAAATAAAAATATTACAAAAGAGTATTAGAAATATTTAAAAAATTACTCACACTGTTTATACTGTTTTAAAAACGCTTCTGAAATGGAAATTATCTAAAGTTGAGAGCATTATGAGAACAATATGGTATAAAAATTATTATGTTACTCAAACATTTCTGAAAATATACTGAAACGTAAAACAAAAATATCGAGTGCATAAATGGAACATCAAAAGAATGTTACTGAAACCAATTTTTTGAAATGTTTCATTGGAAACGTATTTTGGGGAGGACATCTTCGGTTTCTTTTGGGTTACCAGAACGTTGCATGGATTTTTTATGAAACGTTTCAAGAAAAATGGGAACGTTTCTGGAACATGTCAGAAACTGAAAAATGTTTAGTGGGATAATAATAATAATAATAGTAATATAGTAATAGTAATAGTAATAGTAATAGGAATAGGAATAGGAATAGGAATAGTAATAATAATAATAATAATAAAAGTGATAGATAGGTAGCGCAGAATTAAAAAAGATATATTAATATTATTGAGGAAAGAATAGTTGATCAGTGATCATGATACTCGAGTATGCGTATTATGTGGTGATTATAACGTAACAACAGTGGCTTCCTTCTAATGTTTATACTCTACAATTATTAGAAAGTGTAAATCAAATTATCAAAAGAGTTGTCTCAAACGGCGTCTCATACACCTTATTGTATGCATTTTAATCGATTTAATTATTTCCACTGATGTATTTGCTCTGCCATCTACAAATTTAGGTATAGGATAAGTACACATATCTGTTACGTATGGTATTATAAGTACAGTTTTACCTGATGGGCTGCAGATATAAATGCAGAATTAATAGCAGAAAATGCGGTTCCTTGTTGAGAGAATGGAGTTGTTGAAAGACGGTCATAATTCGATAACGCCACTGATCCTGGTGCAAGGGAAAGTCCTCTTAAAGCTGGTGGTACATTCATATATGGTACCACCCTGCACGGTTCTAGTGGAGTACTAGATGGCGGACTGTGGCTGTTTAACATCACACCTGAAAATGTAATGGTTTCAATTAATTTTCCCGATGAAAATTTTGAGAAGACATTTATTTTTTCATAATATTTATTTTTTTTTACGACAAATTTCATTTCTATAATTATTTCTTTCTTTTAAAAATATAAAATTGTTAATATGTATTATATACGGAATAAAGTCAATAATAGTAATTTTCGTAGAAATTAAAATCTGAAGTAGGTGCATTAAATAAAGCCGCGTAAATCTCCCAGGCTGCTGGAAGACGTAAATACTTGCGAGCGTATTCAAATATTTAGGAGCCAGAAATTTGTAATTGAAATCATCTTTAACGCTAGCAAGACGCGACCCCCATAATTTCTCAGCTAGCCATGAATATGTCATAACTTTATGCTCCACAACAAATCTGCGGTACATAATCGAATTTATATACAAGAGCGAGCTAAAAAAAAATACAGCCAAGAGAAAGTTTTCAATCAAATGAAATAATTCCCCTGGAGAGCAATTTTCCAACGCTCAGTCATCCAAATACCGAGCAAAAGATGACTGGTCCAGCTCCAAGCCGAACCCCAGGGATCGGTAAATTACACTTACTGCCTGTAGCGCACATCAACACACCGCCACGCTATCCGCTACCCTGACCAGGTCAGGCATTACCCACCCGCACGTTTCAACTACGTATTGAGAAATGACCATTCGGCGAAACTTATTGTTAGATTTTTTTTTTGGTAAAATATACAAAAATATTAACAAAGACTTTGTTGTTTTTTTTAAACGGCAACGGGTTTGTTTTCCACTCGAAACAGTATTGTAGTGCTTAACGGACAGATTCGCACACCCCACACCTTGTAGGTCGGCCCTGTGTCAGCCGCCCTCAAAACGCTTCTTTCAATAGGCGGCTCCCTAAGCTGGATTTATATTTAATAAAATTACATTTGCAAATAGGGGTTAAGTCGTCGTTTATTCATTTCAGATATGGAATAAACATGTTACCTATTTATTCGTAGGCTCGGTACACGTACTACCCTTACTACCTAATCTGTAACTGGCATCGGTTTAAACGGATCCGATTAATTTTAATTTTCTACGGTCTACGGCAAGCACTTGTCGTTTTTTTTCCCCTTACTAAACAGTAAATAATATAAACATATTTCGGAATTAAAGATTTCCAATCACCTGTATTAATAATTAAAAATCAAAAAGTTGCGGAGAATAATTAATGTTTTTCAATTTAAATAATAAACATGGGTACTATTACAGGGTGTAATTTTAATTGGGGATATTAAGAAATTATTATTTTAAGCGAGGGGCGATCCGCTGATGTAATCTTCGTACGTTTGCCCTGGAATCTTATGTAATCGTTTCTGAAATCTTTGCAATCTCCGTGTAAATTTTGTAATCATGTAAGAATCTCTTTGAAATTGAAATCTATGAAATTTTATCTGTAATCTACGTAATCGTATCTGTAATCCTCGCTGTAATCTATGTAATCAGCTAATGAATTTCGTCGATGTAGTCGTTATACAACGCCCTCTTACCTCAATTTCCAAAGGATGCCATAGAAACCTATACGGTGTGATTGGTGTGTTCCGAAGGGCAGTCCGCTAAGGAAAAAATATACGAAGATTTTACAAAATTTCTGAAATCTCTTGTAATGTATCTGCAGATTTCAATATCAATTCAAAAAATATTACAAATTTCATATAAATACACAAGATTACAATATCTTTCAACAGATTACAAAACATTTCAGGAGATTCTAGAGTTATTTTAGTAGATTTCAATGATTATTTAAGATTTCAATAGGATTATTAGAAATTAAAAGAACATTTCAAAATTTCTTAATAAGGTTTCAAGGAATACGGGAAGATTACAATAAGTTTTGAATGTCCATTTGAACAAAAATAATTAAATTAACTTCAAATGTCATTCATTTCATTCATTAACAATAGTACTTTGATTAAGAATTTCCAGTATTAGGCATTTTTTGGGCAAACATTGTAACATTCTGATTAAGCTTTTGTTGGAATGAACAATGAACGTTAAAAACTTTTTGTCATGACAAAAATGATAATGCTATTTTAAAAGTAGGTAAATATTTTCCCAAAAACTAAATAATAAAAAATGTATTAAGCTTTTATTAATACTTGCATTTAATAGTTTACTTGTATACAGCGAGTTTAAAAAAGACGCGGCAATATTTAAGGGAGTGATTGCCTAAGTCATTTTATAAAAAAGGGTCCTATAAACATAGGTCCGCAAACGCTTCGTTACCGGTCTACAGAATGTGAAATTTCATTAAAAAACAGTAAAAATTAAATTTCTCCAAAACGCAGCCCCTTATTATTACCTACTACAAACAACAGTACCACATTTCAAAAATCACTCAAATTTGATAATTTGAATTTCTTTGTTCAATAATTTGAATTTCTAAATTAAAACATTGGGTTTAGGTGCGCAATAAAACGTTTTTTATTTTTTTACTCAATAACGGTACGTCGTATGGTGCGTATAATCTGAGGAAAGCTTTCTTCTTCATAATTGAACAATGAATTAAAAATTTTATTTTTAGAAAAACCAGCGGCGTCCTATTTTTTTCTTTAAAAATAGCTAGTGACGTGCCAATAGGCGCGTCACTGGTAAGACTAAAAAATCGTTTTGTATTGCAAAGTACGCGTCTGCCATAGCTATTGGCAGGCCTAAAATTTCATTACAATATCTCAAGCGGTTTTGGAGAAATTTAATTTTTGCTGTTTTTTAATGAAATTTCAACATTCTGTAGATCGGTAACGAAGCGTTTGCGGACGTATGTTTATAGGAACTTTTTTTTTATAAAATGACCTGGGCAATCACCCCCTTAAATATTGCCGCCTCTTTTTTAAATACGCTGTATACAGGTAAAGTATTAAATACAAGTGTTAATAAAAGCTTAATATATTTCTTATTATTTATTTTTTGGGAAAATGTTTATTTTATGATAATTCTATTTTTTTATTTTTATTAGTTTATTGGATTATTATATTTTTATCTTTCAATAAAAATATATACTTACCTACTTTCAAAATGGCGTTATCATTTTTGTCATGACAAAAAGTTTTTAACGTTCATTCGAACAAAAACTTAATCAGAATGATTTTTTGCGTAAAAATGATACTGGAAATTCTTAATCAAAGTACTACTGTTAATGAATTAAATGAATGACAGTTGAAGTTAATTCAATTATTTTTATTCAAATGGACATTCAAAACTTATTGTAATCTTCCCGTAATCCTTGAAACCTTATTAAGAAATTTTGAAATCTTCTTTTAATTTCTAATAATCCTATTGAAATCTTAAATAATCATTGAAATCTACTAAAATAACTTTGAAATCTCCTGAAATGTTTTGTAATCTGTTGAAAGATATTGTAATCTTGATTTTTTATATGAAATTTGTAATATTTTTTTAATTGATATTGAAATCTGCAGATATATTACAAGAGATTTCAGAAATTTTGTAATCTTCGTACGTTTTTTCCTTAGCGGATCGCCCCTCGATTTTAAGTATTACTGTAAATCAAATAGATAAGTTTTTTAAACGGTGTTTAAATAAACTCTTGTGTATGCCGCCAATGGACAGCACACGGACTGGAGACTGGAGTTATACTAGTGTTGATAGTTGTTATATACCTTTTTAAACCAACTCAACTGCATGAAACTCTAATGGAGTGGTAGAACTTACGTACGACTTTGCCGCGCGTTATTTTGGAGGTATCATATTGTTTTTGGGACGAGGCGCTAAACATTAAAAAAATGTCTTAGTGTCTTAATAAAAACCAATAATTTTTGAAATAATACATTAAATATTAACAAATAAATGTCGGTATGTGGAAAGGCGTACCGTTGCTAATTGTGAGTAAAAACAATTTATGTTTTAAAATAGTTATTTTTACTGTTTTACAAAGACGTTCATAAAAAAAACTCAATAATAAAAAAATATACCAAAACCAATCTGATACATTTGCATTTAAAGATTGATTTGAAGAAAAAGTTGAAAATAAAAATTCTAAACAAAATTCAGCATGTTTTATTCTTTTTTCTTATTCAGTCACTTTATCAGCCGAATCGGTGGTAGACATCTTAAATTAATCCAAAAAAAACGACGTGGAACAGTAGCAAAATTAAGCCGTGATAGGATAACGTACAATATGAAACGTATTATACGATACCAAGTCCGATCTCCCAGATCTAGCGACAATAAAGTGTTTGTCCACCAATGATAGGTTGGTACCAGTCGCAGACGAAATTAATACGGTTTATTCACCAAAGTGGGGAATAATTTGGTGATAGCACTTAACTAAGTCCAATAACGTTTTTGGAACTGATCTCGCCATTGTTGTTATGTAACAGGTTGGCGACAGCTAAGAAGCTGCTCAGTATCTAAGCTTAGATACCGAGGACCTTTTTTTTTTTATAGCAAATTGAATATCCTATAAAAATGTCATGTACGTTTAGTCATTTATGAAAAAATCGATTAAATTAACTTTAAGATTATTTAGCAGTGAAACCGTTCAAGTCCCATAGATCCTACAATGAGCACTTTCAAAGAACAAATATTTCCCTATAGTTATCGCCTACGTACAATAAATTAACGTGAAATGCAGCTAAGATATAGATAATTTAAAAAAATACCGTAGGTTTACGTGCTAAATGAATGGGGATATTTTAAAATCAAATAGCGAGTACTTAAAATTAAAATTAGTAGCTGGTAAAACTACAAATTTTCAAAACAATCGGTCCATACATACTTAAAATACAGATAAAAATAGAAAATATTTTTTTAACTTTAACAGCCTCTAGAACGAAAAGGAGCAACAATTGATTAAGGCATGTTTGGCTCGATCGCTATATTTTGACGTTAACAATCTGCCATTAAGCCATTACTAATGACACCCTGTATAGATATATACATCATATTACGTTACCTTTTTGCATTTGATTTTCATGTTTTCTGCATTTCGCCCTTCTGTTCTGAAACCAAACCTGAAAAAGAAACATGTAATAATAAAATACGATAGGTGCTAACAAAATGTCTTTTGTTTTTGTTTTTTTTATTCTTACTAACCAACAAAATGGAAAAGTTACTTGCAATAATTAGTATTTCCTTCTACAAATGCTAAACTATTTCTTAATCCTTAGTTTTATGACGTATTTTTATTTTTCATTAGAATTAATGTTCTGTTGGCAATAAAAAAAAAAGTGAAATAGAATGTTGGTTCCTCCGGAATTTTATTTTCGACACAGAACCATTAATATAAAATTGGCAACACTTTTGGATTTTAATAAACTTACGTGATTTACTGTACTGAGAAAGCAGCAATGGAGGTGAGTAAGCCGCACATTCGCAAGGAAAGGAAAACAAGCACTATCATTAATATAATCAATTTATTAAGTGGTTTGTTTCATCGTGGGGTTTGAGAAGTGACCGATTCATTGGATTTAGATGCTGTGTAGCTAAACGTTCGTTTACTCTACGATATCAATCAGTCTTTTCTCCCCTAGAGTCGTTAATCTACCGCTTAATTGATGAGATTTCTATTCCCTGCACATCATACGTATTCATTAGGAAATTATCATCTGCTAATAGTAGCATTACGTTTAGTAAATCGTGTGGAACCAGCAACATAAGAATAAAAACACTAATTCTACGCCCTTTAACTCAGCTAATGGAATAAGCCGTTTCGTGCCCTAAACTGACCATTTTACTTTATTCGTATTTATGTTACGACTGTCTTGATTTATGGAAAAAAAATCCCCTCAAGATTTTATTGCCGAAATCGTCCAACACCGAAAGTGCTTTATGAAACCATTTACCACGTATGTACGTATATGTGTATTATGTATATCCAAAATGTAATATGTATATGTAAATCTTTTTTGGGTGCGGGATGTTGTTTTAGAATCAGAACACGCTAGGAAGAAACCCTGAAGAAGAGTGGAGTGGAGTGCGATATGTCTCTGGAAACGTCAAGAAATTTAAACCAACCCGGAAATTGTTCGATCGTATTGACAACTGACATGGAAGCCTACATAAAACAAATTGTGTGTTGGAGTTGGTTCTTCAAGATATTATATTATATGAAAATGCACCGGTTTTTTTTTTTTAAGAAAAAGGCAGTTGGCTCTCTCAAAATTAACCTTATTGTATTGTACAAGGTGATGACCCGGAACTGATGATGGGCCATATTTACAGAAGAACGGAAAGAGCAAATATATATATTTTTTTAACGACTGTTGTCAAAAAAGTTTTTCATGTAAGACAATATACTCAAGTCTGCATTGATTAGTCAGGAAAATAAGATAGGATAGAACTTTCAATGTTTATGTTAATTACTGAAATATTTCTATTATTCTTGTGCACTTGTGCATGAAAAATAAAGTAGTAGATATTATTCTGATTTTAATCAGTAAAAAGAGACCTTGCGTCTATACATATCATTGTATATCTTTTGAATGGGAAGAGATACCGAAACACTTTTTAAATAAAAATCGTTGAGAAACTTTCATATGATAAAAAAATGTGTGTGAAATTGGGAAAATACTTTCAACGACGTTACAGCACATAGGTGGTATACCTGCCAATATGGTATTTTAAGCCAAATGCAGTAAAGATCCCCGTTTGCGGTTTATTATTTTCTGTTTCCGTTTTCCCGTAATTACGGCTAATCATCAGTTCTGGGTCACCCCTTAGTACAATTTTGCTTCTTTAAAAATTTGTAGGCATTCAATTTTTTTTTTAATACATTTTAACTATATTAATATAATTTGTTTAAGGAACCAAGTTAAGTTCAAGTGAAGCAGGCCACCCTAAGGCGTGTACCATTTATTTCCAGACACCTTGTATGTTACAGACTAGAATACGGTTGACTTTGGGATTGAGACAGACAATTTCTCAAAGAAAAAAAAGTTTCAACAGGAGTACCTTTTTTTATTTAAGATGAAATTTTACTGTACAATCACTACATACGTCGAAAAACACCTAACCTCAAACAAGCTACGTCATAAAATGCCATCGATTAAGGTCGTAGATTTTAATGCGTTACATTGTTCCTTATTTTTTTGATGTGGTTAAAATTCGATTTTAATTAAAATAAGATTTTATTCTTTTACTTTTAGTATATTTGGAAAAGTGATAATATTAATAGAGACGCGTCAACAATTTGAACACAACACATATTGTCAATATTTTTCTGCAAAAAGTAAATAATGAAAATATAAACAAACATAAATGTGTATAGTTGCAAATTCATGGAATTATGAAGCATGGTGCAAGGCCATTAACGAAATATAATTATGATAATTGCCAATTATACTAAATTGTAAAAGAAAAATATAATAGCCACTTGTTCACATTTTATGCCATATTGACATTATTGACCATGTATCCGTCTTTCGAATAAACAAAAGTTACCTGTACTCTAGCTTCACTTAGTCCTAGTCGTTGACTTAATTCCTCTCTCATGAAGGCATCCGGGTAGTGGGTCTCGTCAAAGAGTCGCTCCAATTCATTGAGTTGTTCTAAAGTGAAATTGGTTCTGGATCTTCGCTGTTTTGTCGTTGACTTTACGGAAGACGAATGATTTGATGCATCTCTTGAAATTGCTAAGTCGTCAATATTGGTCGTCTCGTCAGCATCCGTAACAATAACTATAATATTAAAAAATTAAAATTACCTATATTATTATTATATTATGCACCTACATACAGTGTGTTTGATTATAAAGGCCCCGAGCTATAACTCGGTTACCAATTTTTGGACACCCTTTAAATTATACCTAAGTATAAGTTTTTAAATGGGATGTTATTTTCTTTATACTGACGCACAAAATTGTTTTTTCGTCACACTATAGATATTTCGATATTTTTTTAAATGGCATTGTATACATTTTTTTCCACATTTTGATTGATTTTATTTTCTACCCTATAAAATTTGGATGCCTTTTGAGAAAAAAATGAAAAAACCTTCAGCCTCTGACTTTAGTTTAATGTGCTCACTTTCTAAATCACATCAAACAGATGGCGGTGGAAAAACAATTTTGCATACCTACAAACTGCCGTCTGTCATACCTATTGGTTTGCTTGTAATTGTTGTCACATTTCAAGTTTAACTTGTAACAAAATTAATTATCCTAATGAAGAAGTTGATATGCTGCAGGTTTATTATGAATGTAGAAAAGACAGCGTTGTAGCTTTACAATAATTATATTCGACAACGTTATCCAAATAGAATTTCCCGTAACAAAAGAAAGTTTAGTAAACTTGGAGCAAATATAAGACATTATGGAACGCTAAAGAAGAAAATAGTTTCTTTAGGATATGGTTGCAATGAAAATAAATAATTAGATTTAGGTACTATTAAGCGTGGGAATTAGCCACGAATTTTACCGAGTACGTTATATACAAGGCGAATTTGGTTCAACATGAAGATGTTGTAACTTTGAACAAAGAATACAGTTTTGTCGCTGGTACTTAAATAATGCAAATAATAATCACAACTTTCCGAAAATGATTTCATGGACAGATGAAAGTGATTTTTTTTAACAACGACATGTTTAACTGCAATACCTGTATATCTCTTGAGAGATCAGTTACAAGAGTATTTGGAAGAATTAACAGTTAATGAGTATGTCCATATTATTTTCCAACAAGACGGTGCACCTCCACATAATGCCCAAATAAAGATAAATTACTTGAATGCTACATTCGAAGACCGCTGGATTGGTACGAGAGGACCCTTACAGTGCCAGTGGCCGCCACGATCCCCAGATATTAATCCGTTGGATTTTATCTAAGTTTATCTAACACCACCAAATCTATATCTATATCTATATCTATACTTAATATTATAAAGAGGAAAGATTTGTATTTTTGTATGTATGTATGTTACGAATAAACTCAAAAACCATTAGAATGCTACATTATCACTGAGTAACATAGGCTATATTTTTTATATCCCAAAATGTTTAAAATAAATGTCCACCGTGCGAAGCCGGGACGGGCCGCTAGTAGCACGTAACGTTAAATCAAATGAAGTTAGGAGTGTAATTCCAAGATGCGAATTATGTATCGAGACAAATGGACAACTATTTGAACAATACTTTTAAAATTCACTATTCATTTAACATTTTTTGTTTGCATTTAATAGGTATAGTATTGTACAATTTTTTGTTTATTAATATTACCTACTTATTATTACAAGCTATTAGTTATTGTTACATACATATTTTTTTTATACCTTACCTGACTTAGATTTGCTTCAAGTTTACTAAACGAAAAATTCTATTAGGATAACGTTGTTGATATAAAAAATGTAGTCGATGTACTGTTTTTTCTACATTCATAATAATCCTCTAGTAGGTATACGAGTATTAACTAATTCATTAAAATCATTCATTTTGTTATAAGTTAAACTTGAAAGGTGACAGCAATTACAAACAAACCGATATGTGACAGATAACATTATGCAAAATTGTTTTTCTAGCGCCTTCTATTTGATATGATTTAGAAAGAGGCTGAAGGTTTTTTCATTTTTTTCTCAAAATGCATCCAAATTTTATAGGGTAGAAAATAAAATGAAAAAAATCAATCAAAACGTGCAAAAAAATTCATACAATACCATTTAAAATAAAATTCGATGACGTCACCAGTCACCACTTATCGACAGTGTGACGGAAAAAAAATTGTGCGTGAGTATAAAGAAAATAACATCCCATTTTAAAAAATATATACTTTACACGGTGTCCAAAAATGGGTAAGCGAGTGATAGATCGGAGCCTTTATAATTAAACAGACCTAATATTTCTACCGCATATTTAATATATACCTACTAGGTATATCGAGAACGACGGGCTATTGTTATTTTGAAGAGTTTAATATAGGTAATAGTAAATTTAGGTAAATTGGAAAATACATAATAAGGACTGTTTTACAGTAAATAACGTGTTAAACTGAATCAACCGTTGTATCGCGAAATCAGTGTGACAGAAATCAATGATAATCTAATAACGTCCGGAACAATGACTGCTCGTTGTTCTGACATGTTAAACTGTTCCCTCGGTGATTTGCTACGTAATAAAATAAGGTTTTTCTAACAAAATTGCAAACAAAATCTAAATTGGATTCCCTTTTGTTTAGTTAGATTTGATTGAATAAAAACATAAAACGCCCATTTTAGCAATTTAAATCACGTGGAAAGGCTCCACCCCAATTCTCCGTCCTTCGTTTCCCTCCCGTGTTTACAGTTTAATGCAAACTGCACACTGAAAGTTTTCTTTTTATTCTAGGCGAACTGGGTACATATGAATAATGCAAAAATAGTTGGTGAGATCTAACATTGTACTCACTTCCACTTTCATTACATACCTACTACCTACATTCAGTTATCAATCCCCCGTTTTAACTTAGACAGACGTCACATCGAAAATTTATTTTAAATATGTGACGTTAGTTATAGTTTTTTAAAAATTAATTGTTGTGTATAAATTTTAACAATGGTTCTGTATTTCTCCTTTTTGATGGTTTTCTAATTTAATCTCACGTTTGTTAAGTATTATAATAAGCTTTATAACTTATTATTCTAAGCATATTTTTGTCATATTTTATAGATGTCTTGAGAAAGGAAATAAACATTTCCGAAAGCTTGACAACAACACAGAGTGTTCTTATTGTACTAGCCTTTAGCACTGTTGATTGCAATTCCAAATACATCACTGGCTTTTTTCTTAACTAGTCAGTCAACTACCCTTCCTGCTCCATATATGTATATATATATATACAGGGCTGGAAAATCCACATGGTCCATCTGCCTTTACATGAGAGCGACAAAGTAAAGTAAAGAAATCCGTGCGATAGACAAGGATGGCTATAGTGAAGACGTTTCATAATCTGAATAGTCATAAGAAGTAGATCTTACTTGTGGAAGGGCGAAATGGGCGGTGACTATTAGACGCCTTCATTATAGCCATCTTTCTCTATCGCACGGATTTCTATGACTTTCTTTATCGCTCTCACGTAACGGCCGATGAACCATGGGGACTTTCCGACCCTGTATATACAGGGTGGTCCGAATTTTATGCAGGAAACTTCGAGGGCAGATAGATCTCTTTAAAATAATATGTGTTTGCCTTATAAACATAGGTCTGGAACGGCACCGTTTTAGAGATACAGGGTGTTGAAGTTGAAAAAAATTGATTTTTTGTTTATATCTCCGGAATCTATTAACCGAAAATTTGGTACATATAATGTATGATAGTAGGCCTTCACTATGCATCAGTCATCGTATTTGATAAATTATAACAATATAATAGTTTTTAAAAAATTTTAGTCTAAGGAAAATGGTTGTTTAGGTTTTATTTAATTAATAATCACAATTTTAACAATAAAAGCCTTTTGAAAAAGTTCCTGATCAGGAACGAAACGTCAAGAAAGAAATAGCTGCTGTTTCTTTTACCTCTTTTTTAACCGACTCACACCAGAACCCAATTCCCAAGAAAATAAATATATTTTAATATTAGACAAAAGGTTCAAGAAGATTTCCACGTTATATATATATATGAATCTGCATGGTCTTCAAAAGAACCATATTTGTTTGACGATGTTTCGGTAAAATCTCATTTACCATCTTCAGGTTTTCTTACTTCTGCTTCGCGTTACTACGTTCGGCTTACTACTAAGAAGACCTCAAGATGGTAAATGAGATTTTACCGAAACGTCGTCAAACAAATGGTTCTTTTGAAGACCATGCAGATTCAAAGCGGAAAGGAACCCGGAGAAATTCTGTAACCATATATAGCTAAATTCAATCTGGTTTACAAGCAGGTACACCATGGTTCTGATGTAATTATTATAGTCACAGATATAGACATATTAGAATGTAATTTTTATATATGTATCGTAAAGAAAGTGATTAAAACTATATACCTATCCTGAATAGAATCATAGCTAGATGTTTTGATAAAGTTGCTTCTAAATCAGTGCCAAATAATTTCAGCTACTTAATTACTTAAGCGCATCGTTAAAGTTCTATTGGCAGTAACCTCAGGAGGCCAAATAAAAGTTACTCCGATTTATATAGGTACAATTGCTGGGTGGCATATTTTGTATTCTCATTAAAGTAATAGAATTAAATTAATCTAGGTCCATTTCGCTACAGCTTTATTACCCTAGGGAGGTAGCGCATTAAATTCGAGTGTTGTCTGTGCTAATTCCTCTCAAGGGAAGCTTTACCGACCCCTTCTACCTTTCTCGTTCTTCACGGCTGGATTCACACCTTCCACTAAATCTTTATACCAACGAAGTGCATAATATTGATTATATATATATATATATATATCCTCTGTACACTGCTTAGGTATCGCTGCGNTTATATATATATATATATATATATATATCTGATCTGCAGAAAATATTTGTAGTGAGGCGCTTAAAATGATAAAATATGTCTTATATTTTAAGACATATACCGCGTGTCTCGTAAAAATTGCCGCAAACACACACCATTTTTGGTACCTAAAAGAATTTTTTTTCTACTCTGGTCAATTTTTTTTTAGCGATTTTACAATAATGAACATTATATCGTTCGTGAACACGAACAATGAAAATTCATCTGAAATATACCAGGGTCTTCTTAATTTTACAACAATTTTATC